GCTCGGGCGATATGTTATCGTCTGCCTCCGAGGGAGATTTCAAGTGCTGCTGCTGCTGCTGTTGGTTGCCGTTGCTCTCGTTGCTGCCTTGACACTCAGCACCCGCCGCTGGAGCTACAAGTAAAAACGAGAACTTTGTGAAAATCGCCCCTTTCCAAACCCGATTGGTGTCAACCGGTAGCTTGTATCTTAATTTGACGCCGATTTAACAGTGGCTTTCCGCAGTGCAAAAAATGACCCTAGCCAAGAGGCAACGTTAACCAACCAACCCCGACTTCCGGTTAGTTGTGAAGTAACCAATCAGGTAACAAAGGCGGGCTGTAGTATCGATCGGTAAACATCTTTCTAAGCTGTAGTGAATTATGAGAAATTTCGCGTAAAACCGCAGAGCGAAGTAGAATAAGACACCAGTCGCTCGGAGGGGTTAGCAAACACCGCAGCCTTTCAACTAAACACACAGTGGTTGAAATTTGTGACATACTGATGACCGTACTAAGAGCAATTGGTGCAAGTGCCCACCACACAACGCCGGAGGATTTTCGGACGAAAACTGTCAAAAGGCCACACAGAGGGTCGACTTGACGTGACTTACACGCCGAATTTCTTTTGCGTGAAGAGGTTTGTGACTTACAAGGCCGGTAGGGCAATATATATCGCGTTCGTGACCTCCCTAGATGTGCGTGTGTGTGCGTTTCCTGAGCACTGAACGGTCTCACCACAATTTCGTTTACCACCTGCTACAGTTCGGTTATTTGGTTGTTGTCTGCGTGGTTTTTTCGAATAAAAGTCTCCATGGAAGACCACTTGCCTTGCGAAACACCACAGATTTTGTCGTTACACAACCTAAAAATCAGTTTCAAACCCACTCTGTGGCCTCAACACATCAGGTTGCAGTGTTAAGGACCAATGAGATGCGTCAGGGAGGTGAGAGGTGAGACAGTACCCCCTTAAATTTGACTACTTTAATCGTATTTTCAACGAATTTCGGTTCGTGATGAATGCGCCGCCGCCGTACACACACACACACACCACTCCAGCCTGGAGCAGTTGATGAGGGGCGAATGCCAAGTGCGCACGCCTACGTCCCTAAAGGGCGTGTTTGTACTTTGAAATTGCTAATTTACTGGCTTTAGGAGACACTGGATCTACAGAACTGAGACACACACACACTCGCACGCACGCATCCACCGCGCACGGGGAATTCTAGCGACAGTAATTCCACTCGTGTGCGGTGAAAGGGGGAGTTAGAGCACACGCAGTGCCAGACCGGAAATGTCCGCGTGTAGCACGAGCGAAGGATATTCAAAAGTCGCGTAATCAAACAAAAGCCCGAGGGTGGGTGCATCGTGGACGAGGGGGTTGTGGGAGTGTTGGAGGAGGACCTGCAGCACGAACCACGCGATAACCAGGACGTTATGACAAGTGGCTTATAGCCATTAACGTGGACAAGGGTGTAGTCGCTTTACAAGGCGCTTAATCGGCGTTCGGTTAGCGACAAGAACACCAAGAGTGGTGAAAATTAAAACGACGCAAACATCGTCGTCGACACACCAGGCAGGTGGGTGTTGCAGGAATAGGCACAGACAACGCACGTACGTAAAGTGCGCAGTTGCCAATTGCGGGGACGCGTGCACAACACCACAAGGCCATTTTGCGACAAAATTAGGCATTTAAATGCGGTGGGTGAAGGGGGAGATGACGAAACAGAGGTAGGCGATCACTAACACACACACACACTGCCCGATGAATCGGCGTAATTACACACGAAAGACGCTATTTCAATTTACTAGGGTTTATCGAATAGCTGTGGATGTCCACCTAGGCTGTGCCGTGGTTACCGAGGCAACCAAGTACGATAATGCCGCCGTTGAAGTGTCCAGACGTCGTGTGACTCATTGCGTGCTGCCCAGATCTGTACTTTCTCCTACACTAGGTGTGATTCATCGGACGCTATGCAACACGCAACCATGATCTACGTAGGTGTGGGCGTAGGTCGACAAATCGTGACCACAGACGCGATTAATGGTTCCCCCCCCACTCTCCGGAAGCCACTCCGCTTAGTTTCGGCCAGGTAGTGACTCATCGGCGTTAGGAGGAAGTGGTGCTGCAATGACAACGCAAATAGCCATCGATTTTGCGGAGGCAGTTCAAACTGCGTGTGCCACATTGGACACGCCCTGCAAGTTGTCCTAGGTTCGTCAAATCGACTACCTTCGTGGTGGCGAGGGGTTCTGCAAAGCGTGTGATTGAAAGTTATTACCGCGATCAGCACACACACACACACCGCTTAAACAAATTTGACGCTTCATAAGGTCACCTCAAACGCACATTTGCACGCAGGAACATCGGAAAAAAAGTTGACTGGTGTGACGATCCAGGTAAACACAACCACGGCGCGCACAAACCACATGTCCTAAGCCACGCCGGTGAACTATTTCCTGTGTGGCGCGCGTTGCGAGGGGTTAAACAGGCAGAATTGGCAGGTCAAATTGCGCATTAGTGGAAGCACGATCGATAGGAATTCGCCGTCCACAACGACGGGGCTGCTTCACCCCTGAACACGTCATTGTCGGACACCAGCGCTCCCAAACAGTTTAGTGGTTTCATGCAGCGCACGTCTTTCGGTCAACAGTCCTATCTCTACCTCTTTTTTTCCAAAATAATGTGTTAGGCTATGAGTAATCATACACATCTGAATGCTTGTAAAAAGCCCAACCAACGCCCTCGCAGATTATTTTTATTTTGGCCCCATTAGCGGACAAGCTTGGCACGAAGGAAGAAAAGGGACGGTCGACCAAAATGCGGCCATGCGTGCGTAGCATTTAGAAAAAGCCTTAGAGATGTAGAACATGACAGTTTTGGGGCTGGTCGCTTCGGCAATCAGCGGTTTGGGGCTTGGGGACGAGCATATTAAGCACAACAAGCAGCTCATGGTTGGTGTGACAACAATTTAAGTGTGACACGGATAACAAAACAGTGGACGCGAAATCAGCTCACCAGAGTGCTTGCTCAGGGCGTCCTTTTTGGGGTGAGCAGATGAAGTCCTCGGGTTGGCGATGGTCGAACCCGCTGGTTTGTCGCCCGCCTGTGGCATGTCCGGAGGATCGGCGTCGAAGAGGTGCGGCGGGAGGGGGTTGCCGTTGGGGAGTTTGCCTCCGGCCGCGCGCAGGTCACGAATCTCGTCAAACGCCCGATCGAGGAGGGCCTGCTTGGGCGGCAGGCGGTTGTTCGGATTGTAGACCAGCATCTTCGACATGAGGGCGAGCAGGTCGGCGGGGGTGTGACGAGGGAAGAAGAGTTTCACAGGGCACGACTGCACATCGGGGAAGTTGTAGGACTCGTACATGGGGTTCATGCTGGCGATGTCCTCTGCCGTAGGCGTGCCCAACACGCGAATGACCTTGACCAACTGATCGACCGAATCGGCACCCGTGAAGAGGCACTGGTGACGCAGCATCTCGGCGAGAACGCAGCCCGCGCCCCACGTGTCGATTGCGCAGGTGTACATTTGGGCGCCGAACAAGAGTTCAGGAGCACGATAGTACCTACAACGGCACATAGCAGGCTCCAAGTCTACCGTGATTGCCCACCAAACGTAATTCCCATCAACACGATCAGGCCAGGGCGGCATAAATTGCCTGCGTGATTGCGCACGCTCGCGTGACCAGAAGTGTAGTTCGCATAAATTAGGGACAACCGTGGCGCAAAATAAGTTGTTTATTTACGACGATGGAACACCGAGTGGCGAAAATACCTTTGGCGTGGCAATTTGTTTTTTTTTGTAACAAGAGACAAGCCTCGTGGAACAGCGAATCAGCGAGCTTGGAATAACAACCGCAGACCAAATACCACAGCCAGAAGCGTCATAGTTGGACGTCTCAGCGGGTAAACATAACACCCACCGCAAGCTGTTTTTTGCACGTTACATGGCTGGACTTTAAACTCGCTAAGGCCACAACAACTTGTCAGACTACGTGTTACTGAGACAGCCCACTTTCAAAGCCCCGAAAAATCGATGTGATTCAACCCAAAACGTGCTAACGGCCAGTTGACTCGACTTGAACACATTCAAGCGAAATCGTTAAGCGTTCATTTCGGTGCAAATGAAGGCTCACAAAACCGCGCACACGGCTGTAATCGCAGCGTTTAAAACTTGTACTGTATGAGAATCGCTAAAAAGGAGACGCAGAATGAAACTTTTACCACCCGTTAAATGCTGGAACATGATTTTACCGTCTAAGTATTCATGTAAAAACAATGAAAGTCAGTAGGAACAGTAGAATTCCACCTGAGGAGGCTGCCTTGATATCTGACAAATACTGCAAAAAAATTAACTAAAAACCCTGAAAAAAGAAGAGGAAATGGCAAAATGTTGGTAAGATTAGTACGATTTCAGGGGAAGGCGGTTTGTACCAGGTGGCATCTAAAAAATCCAACATCAATCAATTTCTACCTATGCACATTCACACATTAACAGATGTGGTGAGCTGATGTTCGCCTGAGGTCAGTTCTAGTGTAACTCGAATTAAGCACACCCAGATTAACAAAAACTGCCGACATATGCTTTAGCCGATCATCTGTAATCAGTGCAAATCACATTAACACTGGTCATTAGTACACGCGAATAGTGTTATTAGGTCTCGCATTCACGCACAAAAAAATCAGGAAGATAAATACGAGAAAAAAAAACAGTCGAGGCGCAAAAGGTTTAGTAGAAAGCGCTACAACCGATACGGGATGTAAGTGGCCACAAAAATTAAATGATTCAAACCGAAAACAGTGAACTCATTTCCACACGCTTTGACGGTAGAATGGTTCAGATGAGAAACAAAAGGCTTACCGTGAAGAAATGTACGACACGTTTGTCGTTCCGGGAACCATTTCCTTGGCACTGCCGAAATCACACAATTTTAAGATCATAGCTTGCTCATTGACGAGCAGGTTTGAGGATTTAATATCTCTGTGGCAGATCTGGTGGCTGTGAAGATAGGCCAAAGCTTTGAGCATCTGATAGGTGAACAACTTGACAGTAAGTGGAGGAATGATCATAGTGCGCTGAAAGTACATGTAAACCATCTCACAGAGGCTACCAGGAAAGCACTCAAGCACTAAATGCAGGTATACATCCATATCAGTGTTGGGTGGCATGTCTGTGCACACACCCTCACAGGTCTGTTGTGAAGTCCTCGATCGAACACGTGAGGCGGAGGAAGACGTGGAAAAATAGTAGTAGTAGAATTTTACCACATTTGGGTGTCTACTTAACTTCTGCATGATGCTCAACTCTCGATTCTTGTAGCGAGGATCCTGAAGAACTCGTTTCACAGCGACTGATAAAACAGTGGTATCGGAGGAGTTAGTTGTGGTGGGTGCAGAGCACTTATCATCTGTTGGCTTCGGAGGGGGTGGGGTGGTAAGAGTGGCTTTTTCAATTTGTCCGAATGTCCCCTGACCAATTGTACCGGAAAAACTTAGGTGGATGGAAACTGGAGTGTTGTCAAGTGCGTTCCTTGCTTGTACCACAAGTTGTCGAGGCATCGCTAGACGTCCAGATATGAAACTAGCGAAAGCGCCACCCATCCGGCCAGATTTACCATGACTGGCCTTAGAAGCGTTGTTGGCGTTGGCATGATTACTCCCTTGGGTGGCTCCGCTATGCCGCGAAGCGAGACTCATGGTAAATGTAGAAATGTAAACTCAGGAGGTTAAAGCGAGTGGACGGTGGAATTGATTGTCGAGTATTCCTAAAAAGGAATAATAAGGAAAATACTCAAGGAGTGTTACAGGGACTTTGAAATGGGACCTACGACCCATGACTCAATAAATCTGAACAATTACATCCGCAAAGAGACTGACGCATGAAAGTAGCAAACGATTCATAGGCGATGAGCTTTGTATAGTATAAACGACTCAGTCAGCAACAAGTGGGATCGACAATACCCCACAGAAGCATAGCAAAAAGATCGCATTTCCCCATGAAGTTTACAGAAAGTAGAGTTATGCAGAGCCAAAAAAGACTAACGCCGAAAATGATAATCAGGCATATAGGTAACTAACGCATGACACATCACAAGTAAGTTGCAGTGACTTATTGCTTTCAGACTTTCACATAAACCACCTTATCGAGGCTCCAACCCGAAATAAATTAACGCAACAGAAGATTCGGACTAAGTGCCCACTCCAAAATGCCTCACAGCAGAGTGAAAAGCAATTTAAACAAACATCGCGGAAGGATATAACTTTTTTCACAAGTCATCAGTGTTTACTTTAAATTAGATTTTAACATAAAAATTATTTGTGCGTTATTGTTAAAAAAGATTTTTGCTTAAATATGCTGGATCTACTCATTCACGGTACTCGTGACATCAGTGGGAATATTCTGATTACATTTAATAAATCAACCATTTCGTAAACGTGTTTTTTAATTTGTACGAAAAAGTATTTAATCTCTGAACTAATATGTAAGTACAAATGTGATATGTCATCATAACATCGGTATATTATCAGTACACTCTTAGCTACTCCAGATTTTTCACGGAAATCATCCTTGGGTTTTCGTCAGAGCACCGCAAATATTTGGAATCGGTTAATTTGTAAAGTCACTGTCGCCGTAAATTAATTTTGAATGGATGTTTATAACTTAATATCACTTTTGCATTGACGTCTGACTAAATCGCTTTTTAACGTTTTATATCCAAGGAACCATGAGGAGAATAATTAATATAATGTACGTCACCAGAGATCTAATAATTTTCATTCAATGTTAGAAATCAATAAAATTATGATGTTTACAAGTTTTCTCACACTTCGTGGGATATATTCGACCCATTATTTGGATTTCCATATAAATTATAAAATTTTTTGCTTCCGTCAATCTGGTTTTACATATTTATTCTGTAAAATTTCTCTAATTAAAGAAATTTTATCGTTTTGCCATTTTGAAGTATGAGGAATCATAAATGAGAACATTGTGTCACAGAAGACAAGCACATGACATTTAATTTGAAGATCCCCTCAGCGTTATTTGCCCCACTTCAAAATTTTCATCTACTAAGTCGCAGGAATGTCATTCTAATGACGCTTTATTAATCTATTTCTTTATACTTTCTTGCATAGAAGATACATTTGTTTTCAACAATTTAAATGTAAACATTGTTTTGGTAATCAACGAATGCAAATATTTAATATGTTGGACAATAGTTCCGCTTCGTCACAGTAACTATGTATGAGAAATTCAGTACTTAATTCATGACAAAAGTCGATTCATTACATATTTCTATGTCCCACGAATACAACCGGGTCTGGCTTTCAGTTGGTGCCCCTAAATTAAAGAACTAAAGGGATGTATTTTACTGAAGTAATTTTTTTACCAATTCCCAGGTCTTATTTTGGATAAATATTCATAATGTGTGTCTAGGGTTAGGTCGACATTTTGAAAACTCATTAATAGATCTTTCAGCGTGGTTCAAAGGCCACAAATTGGCCAAGCGATCCACGCTAAAAAGAGAGAGAAGGCCGCAGAAATCAATGAGTTTAACTGACATCTTGATAGGGTAAAATGCATGTAAAGTGCGTTCACGTAAATCAACTCCTTTTTGTAATTTCTCGCGCTGTCAGTGATTACCACAACTAATCATTAGTTCAAGAGCTAAATTCCGGGATGTCTTTCTGAAAGTACTAGATTCTATATGGAACTACATACATTTATGAAGTTACACCTTAACATCAAGTTAGAAATAGGGTTAGATTTCAAAATAAATTGTTTCATTAAAGAAACTGAATAAATGTGCCAAAAGAGGTGCTTTTTTTCGTAACGTCGAAAAAATCCATTTTTGTTGCAGTATTCCTGGACTAACACCCATTCATGACACAATATAGCAAACGAAGAAATAAATAGGATAACCGGAGAAATATAATATTGACTCAGCAAAACCTTTTTTAAATTCTGATCAGTCAAAGGCAATCCTGAGCTGTTAAAATAACAAAAATTATTAAGGGGTTTTGTATTAATGCTTAAACTGCTTAAGCATGCTTAACTATTTTCATCAAACCTGCTACAACTAAAGAAATTAGGACCTGCAAAACGGATACACTGGTGCGAATTTGTATTGGCTTTAAATTCTGTTTTTAGAACTCCGTAGAAATTAAACCTACTTTAACCCAAAAATTTTACCTTTATCTTGTAAACTCCAAGTAAATAATATACTTCTCTTTCGTCATTTTCAAATGAGGTTCCATGAAGTACACAGGGGCTGGAAGCTGATGTTCATCACTGTTTATCATTACCATTCCCTTTACCTTAAACCAAACACCGAATTTGTGTAGGTGAAATTTCCATATTAAGATCAGGCCAGTTTAATCAACTGAATGCGGATTAGCATCGTTTAAACGAGGTATATTTCCTTATTCTTCCTTATAGAATCTACGACAGTTTCGATTTTTCAGCCAACGAGTTTGCATTGTCTGACCAAGTACATAGCATTTGTGTAAGTTTTGGCATGGAAAAAAAAGTACGATCTTCTTGCTAAACGTTTGACTTCTGAAAACATTTTGATGGAGTTAGATTCTCGGGTCTAAACTGATTACAGATGCATTATTAATAGCCCTTTACGGTAGGTGGTGTCATGACACACATACAGCGGATCGTAATACACAAGTTTATTAAGTTAATGACATACTCAGATTGTATATTTTAGGTAGATCGTGGTTTTTTTACTTGTGTAAAAGAAATGATCGGACACTTAAATATCTTTTCGGGAATGAAGGCCGTTGAAGCCAGAACGAAGTAGATGGCATTTATACTTGAAATCGGATAAAATTGAATTATCTTTGCTTAAATGCATTTTCAACAAAAGAGAAATTTTTTCAGAATTTTTTTAAAATTAGGAGTGACACTTGCTTGGCATTCAAAAACTGACACTCCTCAAGCAACCAGACGATTTTATGCGGAAAACTGGAACGCACGCCAAAAAGGGGGAAAATCAAACTTTAGTAATGATTCAGGCTAGAATGCATTTTCGTCAGGTTCTATTGCACCGCACCTTTCCAAAATTACGCTTTTAAATTCAATTATTAAATTAATAAAGTGCAGTTTAAGGAGATTACTCTGCCAAGTTAAAGTAAATTCTTCGTGAAATGCTTAAGCAAAAACATTTAACTCCAATGTGAATTCTATTAATCAGAGAATTCTTACAAATACCCAACTTATACCTCCAATAGGTCTGACTCAAGCCCAATTTTCCCTGTGATAATCATTGATCGTGAAATAAGAATAAAAGGCTTAAAACAAATTTTAAGTGGTCTAAAAATATTTGTGTCAACTTTCTGAGAAATAACCTAGGTCACCTTATTGTTTAACACTCAAAATAAAATGTCAGTGTTCGGTTGTTTGTCATTACCAGGGTGTTAACCGGACTTTCAAAGCCGCGAATAACGTGAAAGTTATCTGGCTTCCCCTATTTGAATTTCTTAGTAGCTTAATACGATGCCTGGAGCCCTTGCCAACTTTAGGCGACGATTATTTTCGGAATCTGCTATTGATAAGGAGTACTTTAAACAAAACATTGAACAGCAACCTGTTCAAGACATCTCCATTAATATATTTTATCAGTCGCGTTCTATATCTGTTCTGTTCCTCATTATCATTGGATTGACATATTTTGCTTTTACTAGGTATGTTCACCAGCTTTTAGTTTAATCTATTTTAGGCCGGCGGATCTGCCCTTGAATGACTGTCTTTTCAATGGAGCAATAGTCGCTGTAATCGTTTTTCTGGTTATTTCGACTATGATTATGCCTAATGGTAGAGTTACATGACTTATTAGTTCCTACGCATCGCCTTTAGGACCATTTACCCGTCCTCATCCGCTGGTCTGGAGGGTAGTTTTCGGTGCCAGTCTTCTGTACTTCCTCAGCCTTGTTTTTGTCCTCTTCCTTCGTTTGGAAGATACACGGAAAATTCTCTTTTATTTGGATCCAAGTCTGGAACGTATGCGTCATTCAGATATTCTGGACAAAGAATATGCTGTGAATTGCAGTCAGGTTCGTGTTGTTATAAGTTCTTAATGTAACATGTCTTAATTTTGTCCTTTAAACAAGTTTTAATCGGCCAATTGTAGGTTTCGTTTGAGCGTGTCTGGAGCCACATGGATGTGTTTGCATTCGGTCATTTCTTCGGATGGGTTATCAAGGCTGTACTGCTGCGTCATTATCTAATTCTCTGGACTTTATCGATCAACTGGGAGATAACAGAAGTAAGCGTTGTATTACCAAGGTGCTTTTGGCAAAATCGGATCTGATCGTAGCGTAGACGTCTCTGCCGATGCGCAGATTTTTTTGGGGATAGTAGGGTGTTTAGGCCATAGATTATTAGTGTAAGCGGACACCTGAGGCTTTACCTTTGGGTGTTAGTATCTCGAGGGCTTTATTTTCAATGCTTGTAGGTAGCCTTTTCGCACATTCTGCCAAACTTCCAAGAGTGCTGGTGGGATAGCATCATCTTGGATGTGCTCGTCTGCAATGGACTGGGCATTTATTGCGGCATGCTTCTGTGCCAGTGGTTCCACGCACGCTCCTATCAGTGGGAGTCCATCCGGGACATTCGGTCAACGAGGGGAAAGCTTAAACGCGCGGTCCTCCAATTCACCCCTGTCAGGTAAGGAAAACCCCACTGTCCCGTAAAAGTACTTACAATTTGTTTCTCGCTTGAAACCTATACTCCCGTTATTGTTTTCTATCTCTTTATGAATCTAGTGCTAGTTTTTTTTTTCTGGTTTAAACTCCATGTTACTTTGTCTGATTCCAGTAAGGTGGTTGCTCCGTCATCTGAACACCTGTTTGAAACACTTTATTCGTCTTTTAGGCGAGACTGGTCTTTCGTAGTCACTTTTAGTCGTTTCGTTTTCCGGCAAATGATCACTTTGATTGTCTGTGGACGCGAGTTCTGATGTAGTGTCGTATTGAGGGTCCTTTTTGATGTAAAAACTCCGCAGCTTAGGGTGTTTCAATTCCCTCCAAATTTGCGGTATCCGCGGCGTCATGAAACACAGGCTCGATTGACACAGAACCAATGGTTTTCGGTAGTTGTGAGTTCGAGACGAGATTGGGTTTTTTGGTTGCCCTAAAGGGTGTGACGGCGGCAACATTACTGCCATTGATTACGAAATGCAAAATCTGGTAACCTCAAATGTTCCGATTGCTGGCGTGCACCACTGTCGATGCAGTGGCTTTGTCAACCGAATTTTTTGTCTTGCTCTTTCCCCATGTACAAAAAACGCCCTGAAGTGACCTCATTCGAAGACCTTGTGGGTGGTAGTTAGTAACTGGCTTCTGTCATTCCCTTCAGTTGGACTCCGACACACTGGTTGGACAGGAATTCATCTTTCAAACGCGTTCTACAGCTGTCCGTCCTGATCTTCTTCTGGCAGGTGGCCGAGTTGAACGTTTTTTGGCTGAAACACGTCTTCATCGTCAAACCCTCGCATTTCCTCACCCAGTTGCGCCTCCTAATCGTCACCCTCTCGTCTGCACCTGCGATCAGGTTAGTCAATCTACTCATGCAACTTTTCGGGCACCTACCTTCAATCAATGTGCCGCTGCTTGTTAGTCTGTGAGGTGAAGGTGTGTCTACGTGGCTTCTACACGCCCATGCGGGCTACCGTCATCTTATCGCCACCTCGTAGCAAACTGTTTTGCTTGATAATGTGTCTTCAAGAAATGGCGGTTTGTCTAGCTGTGTGCCCCCTTTTCACGCACAAAGTTGACAATCGATACAAAGCGAACGTAGAAATAACTAGTGTGGCCTTTCCACCACGCCTCGACCCTCTTGTGGTACTCGAGGAGACGCAGAATTAGTGACTAATGAGGCCAAACTATGTCTTAGTGCGCAACACAGTGCGGTTCCCGTAAACTCCTTCTCTGTGTTTTTGGTGCATGTTTAGGCAGTTCTACCACTACGTGACTGACGATCAAGTTACGAGGGTCGGCTCTCAAATGTGGATTTTTACGTAAGTGTGTGTTTGTGTGTGTGTGTGTGTGTGTGTGTGTGCGATTAACTCGTCACGCGTCAAACTTTCCCCCCATACCCTAGTAGGCAGTCTAAAGTGCCTTACCACCTAATTTCAAAATGGTGCTCATAGTAGTGTCGAATCTAGTTTACAAGATCGTTATGTAAATTTTAAATCTCACAAAAAACAGGCCACGACAGGACATAAGTGTCAACCGAGCAGCAGTAGGTGCTTCTACGCTAGCTAGAATGCAGTGGTGACGTGTCCGTGTGTTGTAGACTGAATTCAATATACTACTTGCTTTGACTTCAGCGTCTTGATTTTCACACACACACACACACAAAACCAATTTCTTTAAAAGCTCGATTATTCACGAGTTGACTTTTGCAGTGCTACGATGATCCTGGAGACACTGGTGGCATTCAAGCTTGGGAGCGAGGTGTTCGAGAAGGCGATCTTGCGAAACGTCATCTACTGGCTTATTTGGCTGGTGAGTGTGAGGGGGCAGGCCTTCCTCATCTGGTTGCATTCTGGTCCATGTTTGTACGCTTGAATGAGGCTTCGATGTGGAGGCCTGGTCGCTGACTGATTTGTCTCGACACCTGGTCATCGTTTTCTTGCAATAGCGACTTGTGGATGTAGTGGGTCCACATCTGGTGGAATCTCTTTCCAAAGTTAGCGGGCATCTGCAGGACTTCAAATACCACCCGTGTAACCTCACCATCGTGCACCCTACGTGTGTTGCAGTTGATTAGTTTGCATTCAAGTCCAGTATCAGCCTGCTGTTTCGCTCTTGTAGGTTATCAGCAGTTATCTCACCGTCTGGATCTCCTTGTTGTTCGCGAAGCGCTCGAAACCCAACATCGATGATGAGGGAGACTTCCTCGAAAAACCAACTATCCCCACTGTCAGCGCCGGGTTGAAAAAGGCGTTGGTCAACGGTGAAGACCGCGTACGTCCTTTTGGTCCTTTTTCGACAAGCCAATGGCCTTGCTTGCTCACACTCCCCTGTTGTCCTTTGTAGGAGGTCCGTGAACGAGTTTCCGTCAGCCCCTCGCCACCACCTCGTCGTATCACAAGGTCACAGAACGCCAAAAAGACCAATTGACCGCGTCGACGACTCTTACCGCCCCAATTTGTGTATTTTTATACGCTTTCATCCTGTAAACAAACCAGTGTCGTTCTCATCCCCCTTCCTCAACCCCCTCTCGCTGTGTCTGTACATGCCTTCTCTGTCTCGCTCCGTATCGCTTATTGTCGCTGCCTCCTCTACTACCACTTGTTCCTCTGTAAATGTGTAACATTTAGATTACATCGGTTGACGCTTTCTTAGTGCATTCTGATACCCTTAGTGCCACGCTGAAGGTAACGTGGCGATTTGGGCTGTTGGCCAGATACAAGCGAATATCCCCCCTAACACCTTTGTATAGGTCGTTGACGACTTCGCCCACGGACGAGTCAATGTCTCTCCGACTTGGACAGGCCATGACAGCACCTCGTGCGCAGATCTCTCACTGCCTCAGCCAATGGCCGGGTGGCCTTCAGTGCATCTCGGGGTGGTGGTGGGCATCCTGAGAGGAATGGACCAATAGGGAGGGGCCGCGCGATTTGAATACTTGGAATCGGTGTGCGTTAACACGAATGGAAATTGAAATTCGTCAGTGCCGTAGGAAATTTAGTCTTGGCGAAGCTGATTGCCCATTCCTGGAAGTGCAATGATGAGGAGACGCTCTAGAAAGTTGGCTATATCAGCTCTGATGCCATAGAGCTAGTAATGCAATCTCTCAATTTTTAATAATTAGGCGTCTCTTAGATGGTTTTGTGGAAATAGGATATTGAAATGGAAGCTTCAAGAACGCCGTTGGAATGGAGGTAGCCACAATATCACTTCAACAACGCTGACATGGATATCAAACTCCAGCCTTACTTGGGTTCTTGTGGTCATCAGACGTAAGTTTGTCTTTAAAGCCGCGATCGATTTCTGATCCGAATTCCCCGAACAACTTCCCCAAACTCTGCTGCAGTTCTTCGAGTGAAGTCACGTTATTGTCAGACTCATTTGGAAACTCATGCTGGTTTTGATTTGTTTGACAAATTCTGACCAACAAACTCGACAATTTATAATTTTGGATTATTGACAGCTCGATTCACTTGAAATGAATCATGTTGGTTCAAGTTCATTAACCCGATCGTCGTCTTGTCCGCCCCACTGCTCATCTCGGGTGTCTAATTGGCGTAAACGGCCCACTTCAGCAGAGCAGCCTCGGCGTGGTTCAAGACTGTATCCCCAAAAAATCGCTCATCCGGAAGTGATCCCTTTTAATGACTTAAAAACCCACTGCCTAGAAATGTGCATCGAATGCACCTCAGGAGTTGCAGGAAGGATCCTAGTAAAACAATCTGTTCCGGTGCAGAATGGTGTTTTTGGGTTGTTTAAACCCTCTCCAACCCAGGTGCACTTCAGCATCGTAACCGGTTCATGGGGTTTGCTTGGGGATGGCAGGTTTAAACAATGCGCAAAATTAATCACTTGAAAATCGGATTGTGCATCTGGCCAAGAACGCTACGCGCATGTTTGTGTGCAAGAGACGGTGAGGTTGAATTAAGCTGAAATCCAGGAACGTGTCGTCTACCTGGCCACGAAGAACAGGTTGTTCTTTAAGCCGGGAACCGACTGCTGACATTTTCCAGATGACCTCAAAATCACAATTTTTTCGTCGAAGACATTGCGTATTATGCTTTATCACCACGACAACACGATTTGCTAGCCTAGTTTTTGGGTGAGTAAGGAATTGTGGAAACCCGTGTTTCACACACGCTACAAACAGCGTAGATCGACAGGCATCTAAGGTAGTTTCAAATCCATTAAAAATATGTAAAATTCCTCTTTGGTTCCAAAATTATCGACGAATTTTATACACGAGCCCTAGTATGAGGAAAACTGGTATAACGGAGCAAACTTTATAGACCAATCACAGGCCAGAACCACACGTCAGGCGCCGTCCCTCCGAGTCCTCCATGATTCTCATCCGTCCCATTCTCTGGTTGGCTGCAGATCGCCCTCGCTGATTATTTAAACGCACGACGACAGAGGATTGGCTAAGCTCGGCGTGATCCAATATGTCTGCGCCTCTGTAGGTCACTGCTGTAGAATACCCGAGCCCTAGTTTGAAAAAGACTGGTACAACAGAACAGGCTTTATTGACCAATCACAAGCCAGAACCACACAGGTGCCGTCTATCCATGTCCGCCACGCTTGCCACGCCGCTCAATATATGCTGCTCCACATTCGTGTCTTTCTCTGGTTGGCTGTCTACCTTCCTCGCCTGTCATTGGAAAGCAGAGAGACAGAGTATTGGCTGAAGCCAGCGTGGCCCAATATGTCTGCGCCCTTATGCGTCGTCACACTGCAGACTAACTATTGTGCACAAAATTTCAAAATATCTGGACGCGTTATAATTGGTCTGAACAATGTCATTTGGTGTCACGGATGCATGCACGGGAGCCGAATTAACAGTCACTGAAAGCGTTAATTTCACGATTTCGTATCTTCATTTACCTGATCTGCAGAATGCAGTGGGGTTTGCTAGGACATTAGCAGTTAGGACGTCTTTCAATAGTGAAAGCTCATGAGATGTTGGGATCGAGTCCACTGTCAAAGTTCTCCAAAGAACTGACTTTACGGTGATAGTCGGTTTAAGTAATAACATCGTTTCAACTCCATTGTTATCGCGCGCATCAAGTTCTCCATCTGTGTCGCATATTACTGTTTTGGCGCCAATGAAACGTCTGTTTATTCTGAAATTTTGGCTTTTCAAGCATGTTATTCAACATGGTGTACTTCCTGTTTTGATGGCAGTTTGTCACTTCTCGATTACGGTAATTCCGCATTCTCGTGTTACGTTGCTCTCTTCTGGGATGTTTCCAAATCCACGCCGACCCCTTCTTGGCAATTTGTTTTACCACATTGCATAAAAAACGTCACTAGAAAGCTTCCGTTCCATCAAGATCAGGACGTCCGTCTTTTGGCTGACAACTTTCCAAAACATTTGTTTTCTAGGGGTTGTCGAATACGCTCAGTAGACGTTGGAAGAAATCTCCCGGGTACTTGAAGACTAGACGCGCCATTTTTGATCCGGTAACTAGACCCGATGCTGTTTTTATTATTGCAAGGTCTCCCCTTGCAGACGGTTTGGTACCACCTAAGACTGTTACCATGGTATCGACCAATGAGAACTCTAAGTCTGGCCGATGCTCTGGCCAATCAACGCCGAGTGTTTACACGAGTCCAGTTGGACGCTCAATTTGCACAAAATCAGTTAGCCCAGATTTTCACAATGTGAGTTTTGTTTGATATTTGTGTAATTCTTTTCTTTGTTGTGGCATTTAAGTATACGGGAATGAAGTACAACGAGTTCGTCACCATGAGAATGACCTTCCTTCCCGATCACGCAATTTGGATCCGCTTCATGTTTCCGCATAGAATTTCACTCGGAAAAGTGTGCAGATAAGCGTATCAAGGCCGAGTGTGAAACTGGATGCTTCGGAAACGGCTTTCACACGTGTAAACATCTACTTTGACACAACCATCTTCATAACATCCTCAGCGTTTGATGCAAATATCTGGCTGAATGCGCGTGCGACTTTCACACGATCATTAATCTAGCCGTGTGAGCGCAAATTCCTGTCTATTCACGAAGACACCGTCAACCTAATCATCTGTCTTGTGGCCCGTCGGTGCACGCACGTAGCAATTCACCATAGAGACGCAATTTTGTGATCCAAATCTAGGGGCCTTGGTGGAACACTTGTGTTTAAGTCACACTGCGGGCTGTCGCGGTTTACCGGCACACCGGCGCAAATTATTCAAACTCCTTTGTTTGGAAGGTCAGCGACAAAGCACGGACCTCACGCAGAGTGCATTTTCACTATCTGAGATGCGCCCGCTTACAAATTGTGTGATGGCCGAGTGAGAGGACATACTAACACGAATGGACCAATAGGAAGGAGGCGGCGGATATGAAGACAAAAAGTGGTGTGCCTAAGCGCGGGTGATATATAAACGAAAACTGCTTTGCAACTTTAGGCGATACATAACCAGGGATCCTCAAACAGACTCGACTCAAATGATCATCGCGGCTTTAGCCTTCGATTGAACCCTTTGGTTGCAGGTTCGAGTCCTCACTGGTTCATCCATATTCCCCTACTATCAACCTCTGCCGCTTTCAATCATCACGAGTGTCTGCATGTGTGAGCGGATCGCGTGTGAATCATTTGTGGCGCCACATGAAGTCGGTAACGCGACAGGCGCTACCCAAATCTAAAATGCGTCAGGCTAGTAAAAGGCCCGAATAAACAATCTTTATCACTAGCAAAATCCATCGATATTGACACGCTTGATCCGAAACACTGAATGCGAATTTCGTAATACGACGCGACCTGACCTGAAAATTTTGCATGATGCGATTTCTCTCTGATCGAAAACGCTGCTAAACTTAAAACAGTGCCACACAAAATTTTAATCTGCGGATTCATTTTGACCGGTATTGTAACATTCAGCACGGAAAGATGCGCCAATGAACCCAGTTCTGCCAAATGCCAGGGTGTCTCCCAGATCGATAAGCGGTTATTCGTGGTTACCCGCGTTCTCCGTGTGTTTGTGAGATTACACCCTCAGCCACACCAAAACCCTCCTGAAGAATGCACTCAATGTGTGTTTAAAGCTACATTTAGTGAAAAATACACCGATCCTCATTTCACAGATGATGCTTATTGGACTCCTTGCGTGCTCGTTGCTCATTGGTCTACTATCCACCTCAAGTGACGCGCTCAACAACGGCCTGGCCTTGACTCCACCAATGGGGTGGCTCACCTGGCAGCGTTACAGGTGCCAAACCGACTGCAAGAATTACCCCGACGACTGCATCAGCGAGGACCTGATCGT